TGTGCTCCTTACTGTAAGCCATGTAATTTGGTCCCAAAGAGCCTGAAAAAAATTGTCACTAGGGGCTGCTTGAGTATTGACTCCATAACTGTTTCCCGCCCTAGCTGTTGAGCCAAAGTGTCTGCTTCATCTTATCTCTGTCACTTGCTACCTGAGAGGCTGTTTGTTTTGTTTTTTCATTGGGTATTTTTGTTGTTTTCTTTTTTTTTTTTTTTTTTTTTTGAGACAAGGTCTTGCTCTTTTGCCCAGGCTGGAGTGCAGTGGTCTGCTCATAGTGTACTGCAGCACTGAACTCCTGGCCTCAAGTGATCCTCCTGTCCCAGCCTCCCAAGTAGCTGGGACTATAAGGAAGCACTGCCATGCCCAGCTAATTTTTTTATTTTTGTAGAGACTGGCTCTCACTGTGTTGCCCAGGCTGGTCTCAAACACCTGGCCTCAAGCAATCCTCCTGCCTCGGCCTCCCAAAGTGCTGGTATGACAAGTGTGAGCCACTAGGTCCAGTCTGGTGTTTTGCCATTTGCAAGTGACCCCACTCAAGAATACAGGTAAACACGGAATTTCCAAGAGGGGAGACTGAGCTGTCAGCTAACGAACAGGTTAGCACCACAGTAGCAACGGTTACATGCTTAGCAGGGATGAGCCATCCAAGCTATCGTAGGGAGCAAGGGACATACCTCAGCATCCAACTGAACCCCAAATTGGCACTTGGCTGGGGCTCTTAGCTGTCAACTGACAGGCTTGTGCCCATAAGTCAAGAGGGAGCACAGACTTCCAGGTTGGGACAGGTATCAGCATAGGCTAACATGTATAGAGGGCCTTGGTCCACTGTCAATTTGAGAAGTGGCCTCGGAGAGAGCCTAGATATGAACTCTTCTAAGAAAAGGCAAAGATCTCAGTCGTGGAGGTGCCAATGAGCGACAATCTGCCCAAATGAACACCAGTGGATCTCTCCCCCAGCTGCTCCAGAAGCCTAAAGTTTGGCTAGAGGAAAAGGCTTTTTTTAATTTCTGCATCTAGCAACGTGATAGCCACCAGATAGTCCTTTCCAAAAAGACATAATCGTTGGTGTTGATTTGGAGTGACTGTTCCATCTGCCTTCTATCTTTGTCCTATCTTCCTAATATTACAAGGGAAAAAAAAAAAAGATGTCTACAGATATTTTCTAACAGTTTCACTTTCTGTCTTTGTGACCCTATATCTATGATACAGGAAAAACCAACAGCTCTAGATAATACATCTTACCTTTTTTGCCAGTGACCCAAAACAGCCGCTGCGCCTTTTGGTCTAGCAGTTCATTCCAAATGCTGTGGAAGGGCCCTTCTGCCCATCACTGAATCAGACCATTTCTCCTTATCTTTAATAATTCCCTATCACTTTTGGGATTATTTCCAAATTCCTAGCCCCAGGATTCCTTTGACCATTTCTCAGTGACTGGCCACCATGTGTAAGATTATACACACACACCCCATATTCCATATCCCCCTTCCTGCTTTGTTTTCTCCTCAAAACTTAACACAAATTTTATATCTTATCTTATTGTTTGACTCCCCTGCTGAATCTTCTATTAGAATTCCCCTATTAGAAGGCCTATTATTAATCAAAAATTCCCAGCCCCATTATGAGGGCAAGACTTTTTCTCTGTTTTTTTCACTGTTGTATCCCCAGGACCTAGAACTGTGCATAGTACGGAATCAGTTATTTGCTGAATGAATGAATGAATGAACAAACAAGCCAAGGGTTCCAGGTCTACTTCATATTCTGCAACTCAGTCTTATGCTCTCCATTCACACCCTAGAACCTCAAAAGCCTCTCTCACATTCCTGACTCCAAACTATCTCCAGGTCAATTCCAGAAACTTAAAATGCCATCTCCCATTCAAACAATCAAGCCCCTCCCCTCCTTCCAGTGGTTTGTTTAAATCTGGCTCAAAGTCCTATCAAGTTGATCTTCATATTCATACCTTCCCCCTCACCTCCACGGCTACTGGTGTTGCCTTGGTCCAGGTCACCATCACCCCCACCTGGGATCTATCTATTCAAACAGCTCATTAGTCTCCAGTCTCACCCCGTTCCAACCCATACACCCTAGACCTGAAGGAGTCTCCCCACCACCTACAAGATCAAATCCCAGCTCCTTCCCCTGCTACCCACCACCTTCCTCGTGCTGAAGCACTATGTACAATTGCCCAAACCCACCAAGAAACAATCCCAAGCCCTTCCTCCTGCTTTCTGCTCTGCACCCAGTGTTCTTCTTTTGTTCATGGGGACAGCAACAGCTTGATCTCAGGGTCCACATCATGCATAAGGACCTCTCTAAAGTGTTTCCCAACTCTCGTCATCCTCTACAACAACATTTATAACTGTGAGCTCGCCGAGGCCGGGAATTATCATGAATCCATCTTCCCATCCATAGTGCCAGTGTGAAGTATGAGCACAGTAAAGATTTTAGAGTGAATGAATATGCAGAAATAATGAAACTCCACCTTCCACAAAGCCTGTTCAGATAAATTAGACATAGAGTAGCTTCCTTTCACATCACCAGGCTGGTTCTAGAATCCCCTGCTCATTCTACTGATGTTCATTTCTACAGAGTCCTCTACTGGGTCTTTTCAACCCTGTTATCAGAAAAGGGGATGAGAGGTTAAGGTTAACTCCCAATCGTGTATAGAGAAAATATCTGCCACCAGCCCAAAGACAGAATGCTAAAATAAACCTGATGTATAGAAGCTTCACCATGTGTGTGAAAGGTCTTCTATAATCTATGCTATTATCTCAATTTAGCAGCTTTGTACAACATCAGGACGGTTTCAGAAAGGGTCAGGAAGCTGTGTAGATGTACTCTATTCCTGGAATTCTATCCATAAAGGTTTTCAAAATGAGCTGAAGAGAGCAAAATTCATGATCTCAGGAAACACTTAAAGGAGAGAATACCATATAAAAAAATCAACGGTTTAGCTAAGCCTTTTATCTTTTCCTACCTCCCATGCAATACTAAAACTTTTCTTTGTAAATATACAATATATACAATTTTAAAGAAAAAGTTAATTTACCAAATTTACACAATTTGAGGTTTAAAAAAATCAAAAACCCACTCTCTAGCATTTGGGGTTTTTTGGTTTTTGTTTTATTGGTGCCGTTGAGACTCTTGATCTATAAACTGAAAATAAAATTACCAATAAATTAACAAAAATGGGTCCTGCCAAAGATTCAATGCCTTGGTGATTTCCAAACATCATAATTATGCCTGCTTTTATTTTTGAAATTCAAGTAATACACTATATAAAGTACAGCTTACAAAATTGCTATCATTGTCCTTTGGTCCAACATATTTACTTTAATGTAATGCAGCAAGCTCCCTTCTCTTATATTTGTCCCACAGTCCCCAAGGACAGAGTCCACAACACTCACGTCCTAAAAATGCCAAAATGTCAAGCAGGGGTTACATCCACACCCTCATCCACTAGCACCTTCATGTTCAAGAGCAGGTGCCACCCTCCTAAATGGAAAGACACTTGTCATGGCAGGATCTTTCAAGGGAATTGCAAGGCAAAGTTTCTGACCTCCTCGACATAGCCTGTAAAACTAGGTCAAGGGAATTCTCAGGTGAAAATATTGTTCTCCTACATCCATAAATTCTTCAACAACTAACAGATTAATGTAATAAAGAAAAATCAGGAGAAGGATAAAGTACCCTTGCCAGATAACAAAGCCAGGGAAAGAAAATGCCAATTGAGCACATAGGATTATTTCAAGGCCAGCAATCAACCTATACAAGCCCTAACTTAACCAGTGCAGTCTGGTTGCAACTACTTCTCCCATCTTTGATTTAAACTATCACTTCTCCTTCGGAGGATCCCCTTCTTCCCTGGGGGCTTTTAGCTGTGTAATTACACAACATGTGGGCACCACAAAATACAATACAGCTTTACAAATGTAGGCTTTTAAAAAGCAATGTTATTTTCTCTACATACTTCCAAAATAGATGTTCCCCTCACTCCAGAAGATTTTAGGAAAACATAAGGACTGTTTAAAAGAAGGGCGAAGGGGGAGAAAAGTAGATTACTTAGAATCTTTATTTTAGTTTCCACTTATTTTACACATCACTTCCCAGACCTCTAGAGTTTTGTCCTATATAAAAAGAAAAAAGAAAAGAAAAAGTAGCAGCCCAGTAAAAACATGCAAAATAGTAGTAAGGAGTTCAAAAGCAGGGACAAGGGGTCAGATACAGAGCTGAGGGAGTGAGAGGAGCAGAATATCAACGCTCCTCCAGGGGCATTTCCCACTTTCAAACCACCTGGTAGCTTGAGAAGTTCGAAGTTCTAACAGGCTCAGGTCTACAGTCTATGTGATAAGACATACACCACAGTAATAAAGCATCCTTAAACAAATGAAAGCTGAAAATGCAAACATGTTTTAAAAAGAGACCTTGGCAAAAGGCAGTGTGCACTTAGAAGTGTATAATTCCATGTAATTCTCCAGAGTCCTGCAGGACAGAGCTGATGTCCTATCCCTATTGTGACCATAAGCAAAGAGAGGCCTAGAGAGATTTTATTCTTCACATTTTTGTAAAGAAAAAAAAAGGCACAGAGAAGCGTTTGGATGGGACTTAAGGGTGACTAAATGAAATGCCAAGGCAATTTCTTTAAGTGCTCAGAAGTTCTGACTGCTGAAAGGCTTCGTACCCTGACATCCATGGACATGCCCCCCAGAATTTCAGGAATGTCGACAGCCAACTGGTGATGTACGCATTTTCAAAGTTCTCTTTCCTTACAAAGGTCCCACTAGGTCAGCTCTGCCACAGTGTCCCTTGCTGCAGTGTGAATAGATCTGTGATATTTGACTCACACTGATCCTGAGATTCCCCCATGGTAAAGTATCCTGAGATAACTGAGCTGCCTCTAGAATCTGATGCTGAAAGGAGATTTGTTTTTGTTTTTTTTTTTTTTCATTGCATACAAACAGGATGGGGAGAGAGATGACAATGCAAAGAGATGCACGTACCTTTCAACTGGTCAGCAACCACGCTCTGGCCAAGGCGTTCGATAACTTTCCCATCTTCCATTTCATACCGGTCATCTAAGTATTTTGCAGTGGCCTCGGAAATGTGAACCTTGCCGGCCACTCCCAGCTGCTCCATGAGGTTGGCCAAGTTCACATCGTTGGACCATACATCGAATTTAAACCTCCTCATGCCCAAGATGCCACACAAGACGGTCCCCGTGTGAACCCCAACACGCATGTTCACCATTTCTTTCTTCTCCTGGCAGAACTGCTCAATGGCCTTTATCATGCCTAAGCCCATTTCAATGCAGCAGTAGGCATGGTCTTCCCGGGGCTCAGGACACCCTGCCACACAATAGTAACAGTCTCCCAGAGTGCTGATTTTCTCACACTTGGTCTCCTCACACAACCGGTCGAAGCGACCAAAGAGATCATTCAGGAGACCCACCAGGGCGTGAGCAGACTTGTTGGCGCTCATCTTGGTGAAGCCCACAATATCTGCAAATAAAATACTGACTTCTTCAATCTGCTGCATCTTAAATGGGCGGAATGCTATAGGAGCTTTCTGTATGGAAGACTTTTTCTTCCTGTTCTTGGGGCTCGAGGTGGCATGCCTCTTGGCAGAATTCTCGCTCTCCTCATCCCCCTGTCTCATCAAGTCATCAGCTATGATTCTTGGCATCACAGAATGAATCATCCTCTCTTTGAGGGCTTTTTCCACTTCCAGATCTTTCCCGTGCATAATCGACTGTCCCACCTTGAGGAAGGTGCTCCTGGACCTCACCTGAGACATGATGAATAGGTGGATCCCAATGGCATGGATGCAACCGTGGAGCAGGGCCCTGCTCAGCAGCTCCCAGTGCAGGGCCCCGGCTGCCGGCAAAGGGAAGCAGTCTTCGTCTCGGAAATGATAGCCAAAGGTCTCAAAAAGAACAGAATAGGCCATCCCCAAAAACAAGCTCAAGTACAAAGGTAAGTGCATGACGGTGTAAAGCAAAAAGAGCACTTCGATGCACATGGAAAAGCTCCCCACTTGAGATAAGCAAGTGTCTGTGGACTTGGCTGCGGGAGTACGATTGGAGCTGTCAACATGTCCTGAGAGAGGCGTCAAAACCTGAAACTGCGCAGCCAGGGTCAGGGAGAACACCAGCAGGGTGAGAGCCAGCGAGGTCCACGCATAATGCCGGGCGTACAGCTTGGTGAAGGTAAACAGAAAAAAGCCCACACATACCACAAGGAAGCACAGTGCAGGAGCTACCATGACAATCAGTTTGGATCTCATGTGCACAGCAAAATAGATGCTCCAGAGAAGGCAGGCGAAGCCGATGTAGAAGAGCGCATACCGGAACCGGCGCTGGGTCTGCGGGAAGCAGCGCTCCAGGCAGGCCTCCTCCAGGTTCACCGAGTCGAACTTGGGGTCCCACCACCGGCTGGAGGCCCTCTCGAACAGCTGGGGCAGCTTCTTCTGCCTGCGCAGGCGGCCTCCGCCACCCACTCTCCGGGGGACGCCCCCGGAGTCCCCGGAGCTGCTACAGCTGGAGGAGATGCTGTACTTGCAGTGCTTGGGATGGCTGGAGGACAGCTGCTTGGGGTTGATCTTGACCCGCACGCTGTTGCTGTCTCCGCTGGAGTCACAGCTCACCTCGGTGCTGTGGTGGTGCAGCAGCTGCTGGTGGGGCGGGGAAGCCATGTTGCCGAGCGCCCGCGCCTTTCCCGGCCGGGGTCGCCTCGCCAGTACCTGTCAGCAAACAATGAGAGTTAGTCGGCGTTTCTGCACACACACACACAAACACACACACGCACGCACGCACACCTCTGAAGGCCACGAAGGCTGTGCCCTTCCTAAGTGGTGGCTCCAGCGAGCGACTTGGAAAGGCACCAGATGCTCACAAAAACTGTCGATAATGGCTAATTAGTGCCTCCACCGTCCCCCCTTCGAGGCGGACGAGAACCATTTGGGACGGACCTAGAACACCGGGGGTCCCGGGAGCGTGGCCGCCTTCGGCTGGGAGGCGCGCCGCTCGCCCCGAGGGTGGCCTCCGCTCGGCTGCTGCTCCTCGGACGCTCGCCTTCTCCAACTGCGGCTCTGGAGGGAAGTTCAGACCTTGAGCGCTCTCAGCACGGTGAGCCACTTGCTCAAAAACAACTCTGCGGGCGGCGAGAAGCCCTTCATCCTGCAGAAAACCGCGCTCCGATGCGTCAAAGGCGACGCGCGGCCGGACCCCGAGCTGCGGCCGGCCGTCCCGGTCCTGGCGCCGCGAGCCCGGCGGGCGACTCCGGCCCGCGCCCCCGAGCGGCCGCCCCCAGCGATCCGGGCCGGCCCTGCCCTCGGCAGCGGGCGCGGTGGGGGGGGGCACCCGGCCCGCGAGTTTGCGGAGTCCGCGGCTGGCGGCCGCCCCCGTCGGAGCGGCCCGTCTAGCGGGGCCTGCTTCCCCCGCCGAGCGCGCCGCCGCTCCCGCCTGGACCGACGATGCGCCGGCCGGGCTGCGGGGCCGAGCGCAGGGACCGGCGGGCGCGGGCCCCTCGGCCGGGCGGGGTGCAGGCTCTGCCGCAGAGCCGGGCTCCCGCGACGCCGCCGGGACGCCCGCCGCCCGCGCTCACGCCCACGCCCCAGGGCCGCCTCGCGGAGCTACAGATGCCGCCGCGGTCGCGCCCGCCGCCGTCCCTCCCGC